CTCCTCTTCTTACAAGGGCACCAGTCGTATTGGATTGGGGCCCTCCCTTGTGACCTCATTTTAACTTAATTACGTCTATAAAGACGTTATTTCCAAATATAGTCATGTTCTGATGCACTAGGGGTTAGGACTTCAACATATGAATTTGGAAAGATACACAGTTGAGCCCATAACAGAATGAAGCTGTCCTTCACGACTGGCCAGAGGCCTGGGTGGCAGTCGTGATGACGTCTGAAGCGAGGATCTGTGCCGTGGTTGTTCCATCTCCCCCCTCCTGCCTGGAGCTGCGCCAGTGGGTCTGGGCTCCAAGCTGGCTCCCCTCTCTTTCATAAGCGTGTGCGTTTGGATTGCTGCCATTTGAGGGTCCTGCCTGACCCCAAGGAGCCCTGGAACCAGGTCCTCAAGAAGTGTAGGCAGACCCTCTGATAGGAACCCAGGATAGATGTCCACAAGCCACGGTGTGAGCTGCAGTGGAGAGGGGGCCAGCCTCAGGTGAGCGTCTCCTCCTGGTGGAGGCTCAGGGGTCAGCTCAGGGGTCAGGGCCTTCAGGGGTCCAGGACAGAGAGAGTCAGAGGGAGCAGGAGAGGCAGCTCTTGGGACAGGACGCTGGGCTTCAGGACTGTCTGCCTTCCAGGTCACCTTCGCCAGGACTCTTAGAAACCCCTGGTGCCTTCTGTTAGCTGACAGACAAAACAGGTCTCAGCGAGGAGATTCTGGCACAATGCAGTGGGCGATGGTGTCGGCCTTAGACTGTTTAGTGGGAGTGTAAACCTCTGTCCTTACAGATGAGCCACCTGAGGCCCAGAGAGAATGAGGCGCTAACCTGGGGTCACACGGTGTTACTGGTGGGACAGGCCCAGACCTGAGTCTCCCGACGCCAATCTGAAACCGTTTTTGTGCCCTGAGCTGTCTGTTCCTGTCTGATGGTCCAGAGCAAGGGACAGTCTGCCTTCTCTGCACCAGGAGGCCCTCTAGCCCTCTGTGTTTGTGAGAAACCCAACCCTGCCTCCTTCTCAGGGCCTGGGCTTCCGTCTGGTCTCACCTTCCTCTTTATGGAAAAACTCTCGGGCAGACTGTTTCCCATGACCAGGTGCTGCCTGCTCTGTGCAAACGGGGTGACCTCCTCTGAAAAAGGTGGCTGACTTCCAGGGAAACGGGAGTCACCCAACGGGCTTCCTGTGGTGGAAGACGTCCTGACCCAGACCACATTCTCAGAGTTAGGGGGGCTCCCTCTTCGTCCCCTCACCAGACCCCTACCAAGGGAAAGACCTCCACTTACCTCACTTCCACCTTCTCCCCAGCTCAGCCCACCCCCGCTCCCCTGCCCCCTGTGGTTCTGTGTGTGTGTGTGTGTGCACGTGTGTGTGAGAGAGTTTGCAGGAACCTTTGTGTCTGTGTGTGTTTCAAGGGTAGGGACTGCAGCAGGATCCCTTTGGCTTTCTCTTTCTAACAGCCAGGGTTCAGGGCCTCCTTTGTAACCGGTGGGCTCAGATGCCCTTCCTGGGACATTGCCAGCCAGATTCTCTTGTCCCAGGCTGCAGAGGAGCCCAGGTTGGGGTGTTGTCATCCGTCAGTGCTCCCCACACCTGGAAGCTCACCCTTGTTCGCACAGGGGGTATAACTTGGGCCTTCCCTGTTCATGGGTTTTTGGGGAAAGCCCTTACTTTGGGGCTGTGTTGCTTGGAATTGAGAAGGAGCGTTATGGAGGTCTCTCGGTTAGGATTGCGTTTGGCTGCACAGAACAGAAAGCCTCTCTAGCCCTGGTTTCGGCAGGTAAGTGTGTATTTTTTCTGCAGAATGAGAGGTACAGAGCGGGCAGTCCAGAGAAGGTTTGGGGCTGCGGCAGTCCCTCAGAGGTCAGGCCCTTTCCCTCTCTCCGCCTGGCCTCCTTTTACCTGTGGGGTTCCTCGCCAGTCTGCAGTCTCCTCCTCTGTTCGATCAAACTAATTTCACAGGCTGGTGTGAGGACCAGAGGGGACGACTGTATGAGAGCGCGGGTGTGCTAAGGTGTTCACAGGTGTCTACGCTGGAGGAATGTTCTGCATCTGATGATCGTCCCACCACCCTGGAGGTGACTTGAGCAGTTCTGAGGCCCCCCACCTTTTGGGACCCTGATGGCTTCTCTTCCTGGAACAGTGATTTGCTTGGAAACAGTCAGCCTGCTGCTTCTGTTAGACCAGACTAAGGGGGTCAATGGGTCAGATTCTTTGCAGAATCTTGGGAGAAAGATTTGGAATCCTAGTGGCAAAGCACCTGTCCATTAATCAAAGAAGCCCTTGGGACGTGCCTGCTCCACAAAGCAGAGATGGCTGCCCTGCCATCACTGAGGATGGCCCTTAGCTCCAGCCGACCTCAGCTGGCACCTGGCTCCTGACCAGGATGCCAGCCCGGTCAGCTGGGTGGTCACCAGCTGCAAGGGGTCGTGGGTGAGGGCGATGCTCAGTCCTCCCACTGCTCCCCCCAGATTCTGCTCTGGGCCAGTTCCTGCCGCAGTCCTGGGCCAACGGTGGTGCCTGTTGGTGACTTGGCTCTGACCCTTCAGTAACCGAGCAACCTTTAGTGAACTCTTTCCAGCCAAGTGCAAGGATCCAGAAGTTACTGGTGCACAGCTGTGTTTCATCAGCACCGAGGGGAGGACTTCTTGGTATGAATCTCAACATCACCAGCAGGCTTGCAAAGCAGGCCGTGGGAGGTCAGCTGACATGAGCCTCCAGAGTCCACATCTGACTGGTGCCCACACCAGTGAAGGGGCTTGGGATGTGGGGTCCTTTGCTGTGGCCCTCTGCTTTCATATGGCCAGTTGAGAGACGCTGCCCATGCTCACTCACCCTTCCCATCACAGGGATGGATTTAAGAGGCCGAAGGGAAAGGTCAGAGGTCTTCTCTAACCATTCCCTTCCTCACCGTCATCATCCACAGCTTGCATCAAGGCTGGGTCTTTTCTGAGTCAAAAAAAAAAAAGAAAGAAAAGAAAAAAACAAGAGGGAATGAACCTGAATTTAGGGTTGATTTCAGAGGGTTTACTACTCTAGGAACAAAAGAGTTTCCTACTATCTACAGGGACGGGACTGGAGTAGCACCACTGTCCTCCCGTGGATCCTGCAATGTAAGAAAGCCGCACACAGTCCTCCAGCTGCCTCCTTGGCGCCCAGGGCCTTCCATCCCGGGACTGCTGCCCCCTGTCCCCTCTAACCTGACAGGGAGACCCACCGCCAGGACCCCTACTCCGAGAGCTTCCAGAAGCTCTCACGTGTCCAGACACAACTTCGACAAACAATTCCTTACATTCCTCTCTTTTCTGCTCTGCTCCTTCCCTCCCTTCTCTTCCTAATTGTCCTTGTTAGCTGCTCTGGGCCCAAGGCCGGCTGGGAGAGGCCACATTTTCATCTGCAGACTCGTGCCCTCACGCTGAGCATTGCTGGCTGGGGAAGTCCTAATTTAGCTCTTTTAGGAGCTCTGCTCTCACTTAATTTCTTGGATATTTTTTACAGTTGGAGTAGAAGCACATAGCAGCGTGTGGCACCAATTGAAATAGCTACAGGATGCCTTCCGGCAGACATGGTCCCACCCTCTCCAGGCATCCCCAGGGAGGGCAAGGGGCAGAACGTTTAGAACATTTGCCTCTTCTGACTAGTCTTCCCTTCCCGGCCCACACTCCGAGTCCCCTGCTCGATTCAGGGAGGCGGGGACTCAGGCCCTGCCTCTGCTGGTGTCGCAGTTCTCGCCCAGGCGTCGCTGTGTTGTGGGTGTCTTAGCGCAGGCTGCTGTTAGAAAATGGCATAGACTGGGAGGCTTAGACAACAGACAGTTATTTCTCACAGTTCTGGAGGCAGGGAAGTCTAACATCCAGGTGCTGGGATTCAGTTCTTGGTGAGGGCTCTCTCCCTGACTTGTAGACAGCCACCTTCTTGCTGTCTGTTCACATGGCCCTCCCTGCCCCCACTCTATGGAGAGAGCTCTCTCTTCCTTTCCTTATAAGGGCACTGATCTCTTATGAGGGCCACACCCTCATGACATCATCTAAACCTAATTACCTCCCCAGGGCCCCACCTCCTACTACCATCACATTGGGGGTTACAGCTTCAGCATATGAATTGGAGGGGCACATTCAGTCCCTAACAGTGGGATGTCCCCATAAAGTCCTCTGCTATTCCGTCACTGGGATTGGGTCCTTAGAACACAGGGAGGGAGCCTCAGGATGCAGCATGACAGGGTGGGCAACCCCAGCCCTCTAGTGCATCCCAAAGCAGGAGGAAGGGTGTGGGGACTGCTCTGGGGCAGCAGCCACTGGCCTGAGAATTGGGGCCTCACCTTACCTCCCAGCTTGGCTGTTCTCTTTCTGCAAGATGCTGGGGGTTCCTTCATCCCCCAGTCTTTGCACACTGAATCAGAGTGTTTAACTAGATGATCAATGTGGTCCTTCCTAGCGCCACAGTTTATGGGTTTGTGATCCAGAAGCCTGAGCCTCAGACCTCTTGGCTGCAGATCAGGGTGGGCGGGCAGAGCAGGGTGGGGGGCAGCAGCCTGGGAAGTCACACCTCCTGGTGACTCCCTCTGAGCTGGCAAACCTCAGCGCTCCATCAGGCCCCAAACCCAGTCCCTCTCACCCAGAGGGTCAGCAGGGAAGCCTGGGGGCCGGGGAGTGAGAGCTGTCCAGGGAAGATGTACCTCTGGATTCTGACTCCTCTGCTATGATCAGCCTGGGGCCTTGCACTCCTGAGAAGTGTTTCAGCGTAGGCCTTCCTCCCGGGGCTCTGGAAGGGCTCCTCAGCCTCACTTCCCTGCTGTCGAAACAGTCCTTTCAAGTCAGTCCATTCTGATTTTCATTCCCCACTTCCAGGTAGGCAGATGGCCAGTTGTCAGAGCTCCTGGAATGTGCATGGGCTTGGCTGGGCCTGCCCCCCCATCCCTGCTCTTCCCCTGGGTAGGGAGGGACCCTGGGGAGGGTGTGCACTGGCTCCTCCCTGCCCTCTGACCCTCCTGTTGTGTGTTCTCCGCAGCCTGTGATTGCCACCCCGTGGGCGCCGCTGGCAAAACCTGTAACCAGACCACCGGCCAGTGTCCCTGCAAGGACGGCGTGACGGGCATCACCTGCAACCGCTGTGCCAAAGGCTACCAACAGAGCCGCTCTCCCATCGCCCCCTGCATAAGTACGTGCAGGGTGCCCTCCTTCTCAAGGCTTTGGCTTGGGTGCGGGGCAGGGCGGGGGGACCCTTCCGGATGCTGGTCTCTGACGTCCAGTGGGTTTAGCGCTCAGCAATACAGATCTCTGTGCTTAGCGGGACCAACCCAGTATGAGACCTCCAAGCCTGTGGGGTCTTGCAGAAGCAGCTAGGGGCTCAGCAGAACCAGCCTGCTGCTCTCTGTTCTGGCGAAGACTGAGTCTCCTGCTCCTGGAGGGAAGCAAGCCCCTCTCCCCAGCCCAGGTCCTAGTCCCATATTCCTCCTTGACCCTAAACCTGGGTGGGGGGTTGGGGGCTGTACCAGGGGCTGCCATGCTGCTGCTGCAGGAATTCCAGTATTCCCCTGCCCCTGGCAGATTCAGAACAGAAAGGACTGACAACACAAGGCCTTTGAGAGAAGCTGGGCAGGGCTCCCGTGCATGACACCCATGGCCCTTATGGAGGATGACAGTATCCCTGAGGGTCCTAGAGGCCCCATCAGGCCAGCAATTAGCCCCTTACTTGCTGGAATTTGGGGAGGGGTGAGCAAGATGGCAGGGGTCCCTCAGGGGCCTTGGCTCAATCGAGTATTAATATTTTAAAACTGGTAGGATCGCGCAGGTGTTACAAGCGCAGAATTAGCCGTGGGTGGAAGTCAAGCCTGGTTGAGAGCTGGCCCTGGCCTCGGCCTTGTTGATTCCCCAGCTAAGTAGGCCCCCTAGGCACGAAGCCTGCTTCTTTAGAGCAGGGTTAGCACTCTGGCCCAGGGACTGGGTCCACCACCTGTCTTTTGGTGGCTCAGTGATTTTTTTTACCATTTTTAATGATTGAAAAAAAATCAAAAGAGTAATATATCACGACGTGAAAATGATATGAAATGAAAAGTTCAGTGTCCATAAATAAGTTTCATGGGGACACAGCCACGCCCACTCATTTACGCGCTGCCTGTGTCTGCTTCAAGCTATCACGGTGGAATTGAGTAGTGGCCATAGAGACCATCTGACCTGCAGAGCCTAAAATACTTACTAGCTGGCCCTTTACAGGAGAGGTCTGCAGACCGTGGCTTTAGGGTTTTCAGCGTCCCTTACCTCTGGGTGAGTGATGCTTCTCTGGTCAGTCACGAGGGACTTGGGACAAGCTTAGACATAAGCAAGAGGCTGGGGGACCCTCACCCTTGGGGTCCTTGAAGTGGTCCCCACAGACCTTACAGAGAACTTGTCACACACACACCTGGCGGGAACCTTCGACGTTGCACACCTCACCTGACCGAGCTGGGGGTGGCCCTCACTTCCAGAACACATGGGGCTGTGTCGGTTGCAGCCGCTTTTCTGACCAGTTTCTAAATCAGGAGACGTTTCCGCAGGGTGTTTGCAGGGGTTCAGTAACAGCAAATAACCCAAACCTGAGCCTCGGGATATTGAGGTCATCATCCATCTAGGGCAGAGCAAGTTGGAAGGGTTTTCACGACAACGTCTGATTGTCAAGGTCCTACAACTTGCGAGTTCCTTTTTTCCCGTCTGTCCGAAAAGCTGCCAAGTGAAGGCGTTTAGAGAGCTGGGAGGGAATCAGCGCCGCCCCGGGGTTCTGAAAACATGCGGACGTAACGGGCGTGAGGGGCCGGCCCGTTGCTCAGAAATGGCTGGAACCACCACTTCCCGTCGCCAAGGGGAAAGGCCTTGAAATGGAGCTGACGTTTCAGAATCAGACGGAAACCTCAGGAAACCAGCTCTCGCTTTCGCTTTCCGGCACACTCTGTACCTTGTCCTCACGATGGGCGGGCTGATGCTGGTGCTAGCCACCAGAAGACCCGCGTCTCCATCCTACAGGCGCCCACAGTGCCTGGGGCGCTTGTTCCTGTTTTGTTACGTCTCTGGGAGCCACGGGCTCTCTGCCTACACCCGGGAGCCAAGCCTAAGGCGCTGGGGTTGGGCAGCCAGTGTGGCTCCGTGGCCATGGGCCCAGCCCCATTCGTGGACTTGCAGGGTTAGGCTGGGCTGCCCAGATGTTCCCTTCGGAATGTTTCTGCTGGGACCAGGTAGCTCCTGAGAGCTAAGAGCGGGCCTGGTGCGAGGTCCGCTTCTTAATGAGCTGCAGTGAGAGGGCTCCTGGGGGCCACTGTTGCTGATAAAATCACCCGTGAGCAAGCTTTGACTCCAGGTTGAGGGCTGTGTCTGTCCTCTGCCTGTTCCTTCCTGAAGGTGCAAAGGCTGGCTTCTGTGGGTGGCTCTCAGCTTTGCCCCCAGGCCCGAGTATTCCATCCCCATCCACCAAACCTCAGGTCCCAGGTGGTCTAGAGTCTGGGGGTCCAAGGGAGGTCTTACCCTGAACAGTCAGATGGTGGCCAGAGTCAGCAGGTTTGTGGAGGCCTCTGTGACCCCATTTAGGTGGTCACTCACCAGGGGAGGCGAGTCGCTGCCCCTCAGGGACTTTTGGTCTGTGGTTTGGCCTCGTCCAGAAAGAGGAAGCCAGAGCTGCTATGCCTTTCTCAGGCACTGGCTGAACCCCTCACCTTTTCGGATCACAGGGTTGGAGCCAGGAGCTAGTAGGAGCTAATTGCCATTCTAGGTAGAAAAGGAATGATCCCAATAAAGTGCATGCTCATTACCCCCTTCGATCTTCTGTATCGTCAGTCTGTTCTGCCCACTGAGAAAATGCCTTAGCTTATGAGATGTGAGCTCATGGGAACCTGAGCCAGGGGTGCAGACCCCTCTCTGCACGGGTAAGACACCTCCTGGCCCCCTCACATGCCACCCCTGCCATAGAATCCTTCGCCACCAATGAGTTGAGGTCAGAGGTCAGCGGGGCCCAGGCAGCCCTACCGTGATGAGCAGGGGGGCCTGGGGGAGCCCCTCTCAGCTGCCCCAGGGGCCCAGCCAAGTGGACGACACACAGACAGTAGAGGGTCGAGGGCAGCTCTCCATGCTGTCTGCTCGTCCTGCCTTCCCCCCACTCCTGTCCCTGACAGGTGGAGGGACAGCTTCCAAAGCAGAACAAGGCAGGGTGCCGGGACTCCCACGCCAGCTTTCTCCTCCCCCCGACAGTCCTCTCTTGGAGCTGCGGAGTGGGAAAGGGAGGGAGGCCGGGAGGCGTCTGTGCTGTGCTCATTCTTTTCTAAGGTCAAAAATAACGTCTTCTTGCCTCGTTTTCTCTTCCTCCCATCCTGAACCTCACAAAGAGATCCCGGTGGCACCGCCAACCACTGCAGCCAGCAGTGTGGAGGAGCCGGAAGGTAGGCTGTCCCCTTTGCTGCTTACGTCTTGCTTTTGCAGTGGGGTGGGGTGGAGGGGAATTAGAGGGGCCAGACTCCTCTGAACCACCGTCGGGGTGCTGCTCGGCGTGAGTGGTACCCCAGGGCTAGACTGAGGAGGATGGAGCCACAGGACTTTTTTCTGTGACACCCCCTCCTAGAATAAAAGGGAAGGGGCATTTAATGGTGCCTAAGGGCTAGCCTCTCTCACAAGCCTGGGACCCTCAAAGCTGTGCTCCCCTTCCTCGTCCACCAAAGGTAAGAAGCTCCCTGCCAGCCCAACACCGTCCAACTGGGGGGCATGTAACTCCTTCCGGGGGCTGCGGAGAAGGAAAGAGATGGGCAGTGGGGATGAAAAGGCGTTCTTGAGCACAGGGGTCCACACAGAACTCAGGGGGGCCTGTGAACTGGGACGGGGGATAATCACATCCTCACTGTTCTCACCTCTAGCTGGAATTGCGTGTTTCCTCCATTGCCAAGGTGGGCCACAAACCATGGCAGCACTGGTGACTCAGCCACCAGCAGAAATCACAGCTGTTTTCACATCACAGTAGAGTCGGTGCAGATATCACAAAATATTGTTTGTGCTCACTATTGCTTCAAAATTAAGGAAGTTACCAGACCTGCCGCCAGATCTTGATTTATAATCATTAATAAAGAAGCACATATATTACGTAACTGTACTGTAAATCTGGGTTTTTGAAAATATTTGGATAAGTATATTTCAGTATTATTAGTTTCCTTTGTAGTTCTATGTATTTTATTTTTGCATTTAAAAATATTACTGTGGGAAAGGGTCCACGGGCCCCACCAGTCCTTGGTACAAGAAAGGTTACACAGCCCTGGCTTAGGGCACACAGAGGGCTCACAGCCTGGCTGAGAGCAGGCCAGGTGTGTACCCAGCGCCCTGGTCCTGGGGTCGCACAGGGCTCTTGTGTCCTGGTACTTGGAGGAGGAGTGGGAACGGGGCATAAAGAGTGACAGTAGGGCCCTGCATGCACATTGGTGCCAGCTCTGGGGACCCCTTTCCTCCTCTCCAGAGAGGACTGTCGGGAGTGTGGGAGGTCTGCACACCTGTGCCATCGCCTCAATATTTTAGAACAGACTCTGGATTTGGGGAGCATTGGCAGTGTGTGGGAACCTGGGAGAAAACAGATTCAGAACTTGCGTATGCAGTCAACAACCAGTCCTCAAAGAGGAGGGGACAGAGGACAGAGACTTTGTTGGGCAGAGTCTTCAGTCTCCTTTGGCTGAGCTGCAGGGGACACTTACAGGAGAAATAGCCACGAGAAGGGGTTGGAGGAAACAGCGTCACGGGTCTCTGGGAGGCGGGGTGAGGAAGCTCTTTCTGCAAAAACACAATTCAAAGGAACATCCCAGAGCAGGTCAGCTCTAGGGCGGAGCAGTGTTGAAGCTGGAAGACACTTCATTTAATGGAGTCTTGGTTCTCGCTTCCTTGAAGTGACATCAGTCCCATCAGAACTACCTGGACAAGCTCTCTGGGCTGTGGACGCAGCTCTCCAAGGGCAAGGCAGGGCTTCATGGTCTCTCTCCCACCTTCCATTATTCTGGTCCCTACAGCGTGACTGTGTGGGTTTCTTGCAGTGGTTTTGTCTTTTTCCCTTCCAAATCAGAAATGGGCAAATGGAAAAAAAAAATAGAAAGGAAAAAAAAACCCACTCCTGAGATTTCTTTACAGGCCACGAGAAGCTGGTAGCATGAAGCACAGAATGATCCGTTCAACCAGACAAGCTTCCTGAGCAACTACTTATAAACACGTGTAGCCCCCTCCTTTGAAAAGTCTTCCTTAGCATTTCTGGCTTAATTGACTTTTCTGACTCCTTTTGCTTTTGTTGCTGTTTATTTCCTTTCTTCCTACTGAACCTTTAAAAACATGATTCAGATAGACACAAGCAGTAAATAAACACGCTTACAAAGCACTCTCCTCACAGAGGGACCAAGTGAGCAGATGTGATACCTTGCTCACAGCTTTGGCCAGACCCTTTCTGACCTTCTCTGGTGATCCCCAGATGCCCAGCATCTCTGATGCTCTCTGGAGAACTGGGGCCATGCCCGGGCCATGAGCGCTGGACTCTGGGGCCTGCCACCACAGAGGCCGGCTTGCCTTGTCTCAGCAGGCTGCGACGCTGTGGGCAGGAGGCCAGGGGGCCCCCAGGAAGCCGGGCCTGGGAGCTCACTACTTCCGAGCCTGTCGATTCTTGCAGTGTTTGAATAGGGAAGGCCTTTGTGCCAGGTTGCCTGAGAAAAGCTTATTTACTTTTGCCTGCCTAACGGAGGAGAATTAATAAACTAAGAATTTGTCCTGAAAGTGCATGGACATAACCTCACCCTGAACCCATCCCCTTGAAGGACCGGCTCACTCAGGGAATGCTGGCCACCTGCTCCTGAGCTGGCTGGTACCCGTCTTGGGGCAGTGACATGAGGAACGCCGTGCCCGCGGGAGATCTGGGGTCAGAGGGCCCAAGAGGGAAACAGGCTGGGAAGGAGATAGGGATCACCCACTCCAAACCCACTGCTTCTGGTTAGACCTCCACCCCCCGGGCTGAAAGAGGGCCACTGCCCTTACTCGCCCTCGAGCTCTGCGGTAGTTGTTGGTCTGCACACTGTGGGGTTTTGTGGAGGCCATTTGGTTCAGCGGGAGGAGCCCTGGTTTGGAGCCGGGAGGTCTGGGGTTGATTCTCCGCTGACTGTGAGGCTGTGGACAGTGCCAAGACTCCTCCTTTCTGCCTCCCTTGAAGCGTGAAGGGGTGGGACCAGTGTTCCTAGGGCCTTCCCTGCCCTGCTCCTCGAGGTGGGAATGGCCTCCTCCTGCTAAGCTTTCTTCCTCTTCAGAAATGCCTGCCCCTTCTCCTTCTGCCTCTGATGGTCAGCTTCTTACCCAGCCCCTTGTAGATGTCCCCATGGGCAGAGGCATGCTGGTGAATAGTTAACACCTGGCTGGGGCGGGGCCTGGTGTGTAGCATTTGCCACTTATTAAACACTCCCTCCGGGCAGGTTTCAGGCCGTCGCAGGTGACGTCACTGACGAGCTGTGCACGGATTGGCTCTCAGAGCCCATGTGAGCCCACTTCACCCACCACTGCCCTGGGCCTCCCCCGGAAATGGAGTGTAGACGCAGGAACAGAGAAATCAGTGGGAGGAAGGGCTGCCTCTCAACAGGATGAGAAGCTGTTGGTCTTTTGCTGGCCTCCTCAGTTTGAAGGGGCATGGCTGCCTTCTGAGTGGAAGCTGGACCCAGGATGGAGGTACAGGAGCGAGAAGCCAACTCCTGTGCTCCCCTACCCTCCAGCAGGGTCTGGGGTCCTCTTTCCAGGCCTGTCCTTCCATTGCACTCACCCCGTTTGGGGCCCTACGTGGGGCCTTCTGCTGACTGCTCCAGCGGCCCAGCCTAGGGGTAGGTGTGGCTTCCAGGCACCCTGGCAGCCCTCAGGGAGCCCAGAGAGAGAACTCTGTGGAACCTGGCAGCTGAACCCATGTGAGCAGCTCCAGGTGTGTGTTGGGGATGGGGGGTGACCTTAGAGATGTCACATCTAGTGGCCCCTCAGCACCTCCATTTTTTGTTTTTTTCCCCCAAAGCCCCAGTAGATAGTTGTATGTCATAGTTGCACATCCTTCTAGTTGCTGTATGTGGTATGCGGCCTCAGCATGGCCGGAGAAGCGGTGCGTCGGTGCGCACCTGGGATCCGAACCCGGGCCGCCAGTAGCGGAGCGCATGCACTTAACCACTAAGCCATGGGGCTGGCCCAGCACCTCCATTTTTTCATGGAAAAAAATTGGGTTTATATAGATCTGCAACCTGGGTAAGCTTGGATTATTCTCATTTTAGATTTTTGTTTTCCCAGATGGGGAATAGGTCGGGTGAGTATGGGACCAGGAGCTGGTGACTCTTGAATGCGGTATTGGCCAGGTGTTGGGGGCGGGACAGGAGAGAGGAAAGGGCACTGAATTGGGAGCCTGAGACCTGGGTTCTGCCAGATCTTGTTTCCTCCTCTGTGAAAGGGGGTAATGATAACCCTGCCTCTTGGGCTTGTTGTGGGGATTAAACAAGATGATCCCGTAAAGACTTTGACTCAGTGGTGGGCTTATCACAAGTGCTCAGTGATAAACCGATAGAACAACATGGGAAATACAAACACCACAGTGGACTGAGGGGTTGAGCTGAGCTAAAGTCTCTGCTTCTCCTCAGGAGGTAGGATTTGTGGTGGGAGTTGTTGGCACGTGGACAGGTGTGGAGAGTCAGCCAGATGAAGGGCTCTGGGGGAGACCTTGGGAGGGAACGGGGGGCTGCCCAAGGCAGGGGGCAGCTGAGGGAACTGCTCGGTGTCCTCGTCACAGCCTTCCCAGCAGCTGAAGTTAGACCCTGAACTAGCAGAGAGTTCAAGACTGGAAATCAATTCACAGTCAAGTGCTTGACTTCACGATAGCCAGAGGTGGAAATAACCCAAGTGTCCATCGGTGGAAGAATGCATAAACACAATGTGGCATCTGCGTGCAGTGGAATTTCATCCAGACATAAAAAGGAATGAAGTACTGATACATGCTACAACATGGATGAACCTTGAAAACGCTGTGCTAAGTGAAAGAAGCCAGATGCAAAAGGCTACGTAGTATATGATTCCATTTATATGAAATGCCCAGAATAAGCAGATCCAGAGACAGAAAGTGGATTAGTGGTTGCCAAGGACTGGGAGGAAGGAGGAATGGGGGTGACTATTTGATGGGTACAGGCTTTCCTTTTGGGGTGATGGAAAGTTCTGGATCTAAATAGTATTCAGTTCCATTTTAAAATGGCTAAAATTGTCAATTTTATGTATGTGTACTTTAAGTTTAAAAAAAAGTCAAGTGCTTGAGTTCAGGGTCCAAGGGTGAAGTGAATGTGGTTTGTCTGGTTGGGGTGAGTGGAGAACAGGAGCCATGGACAGGGAGCTGGGGCATGGGCAGCAGTGGGGGACATGCTTATCT